GATGGTTCCAATAGCTTTCCTGGCTATGAAATAAAAGGTAGAAAGACTCTGAGGTCTGTTGAGGGATCTTTTCAGGAAGTGTATGCTGCGATATAAGAAAGGTCCAGTAGACTTGTTTTGTTCACTCCAGGTATTTCCAGATAAAAATTAGCAAACCAGGCTGTCAAGCCTTGTTTCTCTTCAGTGTGTGCTTGATGGTCCCTTAGTTCCATGTCACAAGCTGGCAAGAAAAGGACGATTTACCGAATTCAATTTTTAGTGGTTTTGAAGTATCCCACTGCACTAGTGTCATCAGAGTTATCTGATGCATTGCTTTGTGGTGGGGTTTGGTTCTTTGCGGTTAATTAGGGAACATACATTGTTCATGGTTTCTCAGTTGCAGGTGGGATATTGTTGACTAGCTTTGTGTGTCTGCTGAATGCCAAATTTAGGAATAATTGCCACAATAGCCCGTGTGACTTTTGATTAAATAGATGTTTTTCAAATTCATCAGGTTTTCAGGATCCCAACATCTCAGTGATAAGTTATTTTGTCTCCTCTCACAAAACACCCCCTAGGGAATCAGTGTCTCTTTAGTCCCGATGAAGTGTAATAGCACTCATGCTGTAGGAATGTGACTGTTCTCATGAATTTCAGTTTTCAGGACATTGTCGTTAAATACCAGGACTTCGTAGTATGGGGAATCAGCAGTTTAGCTTTCATGTTGCATCTAGATTGCCCTGCAAATGTAGGGAACAGCTCCCAGCCAAGGATTTCTGGTCCTTCTACTAGGAAGGGCTGAATTCAGTTCTGTATTCATAATGGAAATCCAGTGACTGAACATCTGAAAAGTGATAACGTGTGCGCTGTGCTCCTCTCAACAGTTTTGTCTGCTGAACTGCTGACACCTCTAGCTGTTTGTGAATTAACGTTTTGATAAAATGACTAGTAGGACTATTCCAGACTGTACTTCATAGACCTTGCAGTGTCTCTGGCAGGTGTTGTTTGGTTTTGTTCATTATTGTTGTCAGTCTTTTAAATTGTATGGTTTAGAAAGCCTCCTTCCCCTCTCACAGCACTCCCTCCCCTACCAAAAAAAAAAAAGCTCACCTGCCTCACAAGATTGTGAAATTTACCAAAATGCTTGCATTTGTGTTGACATTTTTTCAAAAATTCAGTTAATTTAAAGATGTGTGCAGATTTCTTCACTTAAAATAAAATTTACTGGTGTCAGTGGCTTCAGGTTGCTCTGAAAAGTTACTTTCTGTTTTTCAGCCTACGAGAACATCATCCGAAAGCATTTATTCCAGACCAGGTTCCAGTATACCTGGCTCTCCAGGCCACACTATCTATGTAAGTATTCCTTCTGGTAAATAAGCTGCTGATCACTTGCTTGCACATGAAAAATTCCATGCTGAAATAAATCACTTTTATACTGATGTTAATGCCTTCATTCTAGTGGTTAATTTGTTAAAATCCATGCCGTGACAGATGCAGTTTTTGTAACTACAGAATATCAAGGGCAGGGCAGGCCCTTTCCAGGTCATGTTTCCCTTGGAAAGACAGTAAATCTCTTGGAGTCACTTGGTGATGTGAGGAGGGGCAGAAGGCAGACTTGTCATTTGACTTAGGGGTTACGTGAAGAGATCTGTGCACTTCAATATGCAGTTCTTGAGAGATGTGCTGTCTGCACTTGCAGGATGTGGTGAAGAGGGTCATCCTGGTTCATACAACACCTTCTGTTTCAGAAGTCAGATGTTTTGGTTGTGGAAGGAAAGGTGTTTTTTATTTAAGAAAAAAATTATATTAAGCATCCTTCTATTACTAAACTAACAGTGCTGAAAATGCAAAGTTTTTGATAGACTGTTTTATTTGTGGCTACCTGAGATGTAGAGTTTAGTATGATTCCTTCAGTAATCAAGACTCCTCTTTCATTATTTTAGAGGATCTCTTTCACTCCTTGGGCTCATTATTGTTACCTTTTGAGCTTGTAAGATCTTAGAAATGAGAAGTGGAAATACATAAGCAGAAGGTTGGCCCAAAATTTTCAAATGAATAATGTTTTTCTCCTCTTTTCATACCACTTTCCCAGGCATTTCAGTGTTATAAATGTCAGTACCTTTTTTTTCTAGGCAGAGAAGTCCATAGGGTGAAAAAAGTCATCTTTTGTGGCTGTACTAATCTGATTTTAAGGAGGAAGTATATCAACTCAAATGTACTTGGGTGAATAAGAGAACAGCTCAGCCTTCACCAACTTGCTGTATTTACATGCATATAACCTACACTTCCAAAAACTCACATCCATTTAAGAGTCCTGTTCCTTGAAAGTCCATATAACCTTTTTCATGTAAAACGTGCTCTTGGATAACCTGCACAAAATCCAAGACAGAAGTGGAAGATAACAGCTAAGGAAAAAAATCAAAGGAAGATAAGCTAGTGAGAGAAAGTCCATCGTGAGGGGAACAAAGGTGAAGGTGTGCTGGGAAGAAGAGTCAGACTGCAGGGCAAACTTTCTGTTACCTATGTGTAATGCTGAATCACTGATTTTGTAGATCACCTTAAGATAATACAAGTTAAAGTGTAGTGTAAGACAGAAATTTATCATATCGGCTAACATGTATAATAATGCAGAAAAATTATCAAAATTTGAAATCTTGGGTCCTGAGTTTACCACTAGTTCTTCAGTGCATTTCAACGATGACAAAAATTAGCTGTTATATTAAAAAAGTCAATATGAAAAAGTCACCATCAATATGAAAACACAGAACATGTCCTGGAGAACTGCTGTTATTTTGGAAATAAGAGCTTCATAAGCTGTAGTTTATGAAACTTTACTGCTGCAAAACAGCACAGTCTGTAGAGTAACATGGTGGCCCTAAACCAGAGCCTACAAAAATATCTATGGTAATTTATATTGGATTAAGAATATCTAGACATGTTTTCAGCTCATTAACAGACTGTGGTCAAAATATTACAGAAATAACATACATTAATATGCCTATGTATTTGAAAGGTTAAATTATCTTATTTTGTTGTATCTGGTGAGTCAAAACTAGGCAGATTTTATGATATTTTTATAAAGTGAACTGTTTCGAACCTTACTTCTCTATCAAAAGATGTTTTGTATTGTTTCTAATTTTTGGCATTGCTGAAGAGCCATCGGCAGAGGTGATTCTTAGGAGAGCTTGGGAAGGCAAATACACTTAAATCCAAAAATATTAGGTGCTAGTACTTGGGCAGAACAGAACTGAATGTGAGTAGAAGCAGATCAGCCTCACTTCCTTGTGCAGCCTACTGTGAATAAATTAAATACCTAGTAGAAGAGTTGAAAACCGATTTGAATATTCTCTTTCAGTTTTAATCATCAAGTGTATTTCTGTAAGGTAGGTAAGAATGTATGACAATTTTTTTAACAAGTCTTCCTTTACTTAAGGAAATATATTAGCTATCTAAACTGTATGTTAGGCCTCTTTCTGTCTCCTTCTGATGGGTTCAGCA